CCATGGCAATTTGTTGCTATCTTATTTTCTTATCCTATCGACGGGCACTGCAGGACTCTTTGTTTTGATATTGCCGCCGCCAATGATGCACAACAACGATAAAAAAAATAAAGCAAAACAAAATCAAGCTTCCATATGATATACAGTGCGGTTACATGTGAGTGTGTGCATGTGTGTGGAGGGTGGGAGGGGGGGTTTATTTACAAACACCAGAGCCCTGCACTCATTCATGTCCAAGCAGTTTGCAGCTACAGCCAATCACTCATCATGCTTGTGAATCAATATATTGTATACTTGGGGGTGGGTAGCATGAGCTTGGCTAGTATCTGGGAATATGCATTAATATTCTCAGCTTGTGCTAAAGCCGGACCTTGTTATAATAATTATTATTATTTGCAAACCTCGTTTTCAATAGCATTAACCAGTATGACCTTCCGCTAAGTCACTGCTACATCCAAAGACAAGCCGGGGACTCGATCCACGCATTTCATATATACAGCTAATTACTGTTGAAAGGCTTTATTTGTAACTAGGCATGCCACAAATTAGTACTTGCCGTAAATGCAGGCCATTCATACCAACTACATTCAAATCCTTATTGTGCACTTGCCGAAATGACTGTGGATCGCTCAGGCAGCTCATCTATTGAAGACGTCATCTCCTTTTTTTTAAGCTCCTTAACCTTGAACAATTATATTACATAGCTTTCATAGGAAAAATCCATCCAAATTAGAGTAAGACAAATTATCAGTTATGATATAACTTATATTATATTGTTTCTACGTATTCCATTTTTGACAGATGAAACTGCTTGACTCCTGCCGACTGGCGTCTCTCAGTCTGGCGATTCCTCTCTCTCCCTCTTGATTTTTTAATCATAGCTTTGTATACACTAAATAACTCTATGACATATCTAATGGGGGAAAGGCAATTGAAAATAGGGCGGTCTATGGTATTATTGACAACATGCAGTCAGGTTTCCCTGAAGCACCCTTGTCGACTGCATATCCAACGATTTCGACTTTATTGCACCGCTTCACCACCCATTTGTTTACATTATTTGTTATATATATATATATTTTTGGATTGGTTTGACAGACTTGAGAGGCTTTCGCAAGTGTTTTCGGGCGACACAATGCACCTTCTGCCATCTTCCACTCATGCGCCCCGAAGCGGCCTGGAAGAATGGCATTGGAGGAGGCGACGAACTATTTTTCCCCGTTAACGTGTTCACTTTTCAAGTGCTTCCTTTGTGACTGACTGACTGCCTGACTGGCTGACTGACTGACTGACTGAGCGCCTGTCTACGTATATAATGCATGGTCGGGCGCTCGGCCGGCATAAACACTGACACAGCCATGACGTGTGCCTTTCAAAGAAACGCAAACGCAAACCGTCGAATGCCAGTCCCGGTCCCAGTCCCAGTCCCAGTCCCAGTCCTCAGTCCTCAGTCCCAGCCCCAGTCCTCAGACTCAGTCTCAGTCCGAGCTCTCAGTTCGCAGTTCCCAGTTCTCAGTGCTCAGTTTCAGTCACAGTCTCAGTCTCAGTCTCCAGTCACAATCGCAGTGTCAGCTCGTGCGAGCGCGAAAAGCAAAGATTATAATGCCAAACAACTTCAGAACGTTCCTTAGGCAGTTGACGACGCCAAACTTCGGCGTTAACCCTTATGTGGCCCTCCTGATTTATGCCCAATTGGCATGACGCATACAAATCCAAAGTCCTAGTGTGTTTCTGTGAGTCCCCGAAAAGTATCATGTGTGCTTATATGCATATATAAAAAGCTGGTGTCAAGCGCACCCAATACACGCCAAAGGGTTAATGTCGAATTTTATTTGAATCAAAAGCGCGTAACTTGGTAAATACCCTGTAAGAGATCTAGAGCCAGTTTCTTAAAAAAACATTTCAGTTTATATTTTTATCGTTTTGGGAATCAGCCTTTAAAATTCCATACACCAGCGCCTTCTATTAAACATTCTCTGGGAACGACACATTTAAATTACATTAGAATTCTGTTTGAACAAGCCGGAACGGACAAGGATAATTTCCTAATTTCTTAATTCATATTTGTCTTTTATATGGCCTTAAGTAAAGTCTACAATGTCCCACAAAATACATTAAAATATATGGAAATATATTTTATAATTATAAATAAATATATTTTCTTGGTATATACATATATTATACTAATTAGAGTCCTGATTGGCACTTGATAAAATAAAACCAAATAATATAAAAAAAACAAATATTATAATATTTCTATTTATAAAGTCAATATTATATGAAATGAATTCTATAGTGTCCCATAAAAATATATCTAAATGTATATTTCTTTGCATTAATTCAGATAAAAGTTTTGGGGAAAACGACCACATTCTCTTTCTGTTGGGAAATTTTCATTATTTTGAAACAATTTAAACAAGCATAATGTACCTCATGGAGGCACCTTTGTCTTGTTCTATCTGTGGGTGTATACCCCACTGAAGACAATAGACGGCTGCAGGGTATAAAAACTTAGCTGATTTGACGTCGCACTCGAAAATCGCGCGCACTCTCTTGTCGCACATTCAAGTCAAAGTCACTACTGCCATGTCGGACCCAACTGACGGGGCCCTCATACCAATGCGAATGCCGGCGGTACAACTGAAAAAGTCAACCTGGTGGACGTGGACGTGGCACGACACAACGGCTCAAACGGCTCAAACGGCAAACGGCAAACGGCGAACGGCAACGACAACACGACATCATTTTGTACGTCACTCAAAATGTTCGTAGGCTGTCAGGGAGACAGTTCAAAAAATGAAATATATACATACACATTATAACAAATTCTAAAACGCAAAAGAGACACTCACTCATACAGACACATGGTCCGTCCGTCCGTCTCTCCGTCTGTCCGGCAGTCATTCATTCAGTCATTCAGTCATTCAGTCAGTCAGTCAGTTAGTTAGTCAAGCTTCATTGTTCGTATGTGCATTCGATTAAAGGTGTAAGCGTACGGATCAGCCCCAGATCTCAAGACCCAGGACAACCCCAACTCAGTCGACACACTGACTCTACAGAAAGAGGGTGCGAGGTCTCTCTGGAAGCGGCGGCACTCAAGTGGGCCCGTTCCCGTTCCTGGTGCTGGCAACGATGACACGGACACCGACACCGTCACCGTCACAGACACGGACACGGACACGCTTGGCTGCCATATACATAAGTCCAAGTATTGTTGTCATTGCTGTTGCTGGCGGTGTTGTCGGTGGTGGTTGGGGGCAGCACATTTTGATTTCATTATTGATTCAATTACAACGTCAATGTTAAGGAGGCGCATTTGGTCGTTGCCAGGATTGTCAAGTGAGGCGCTGCCAATCACATTTGCCCATCAGCATATCCCAACTGTCAATTTCCATTTTGCAATCGGCACCAGGCAACAAAAAATATTCGTATCACATTCGTAGCGTTTATGAGCTTTCATGATTCTCTACACGTTGACATGTGCCTTTTTAAAAAATATAATACACATCTGATAATACTGCTAATTGCTTCATACAATATTTGCATTGTTAAAAACGAATTTAAGCTGCTAACTGTCCAACTTTTAAAGCCAAACAAACTTGAGAAATGGCTAGACAAAAAAGTGTAGAAAAAAACTTGGCTGAACTAGAGTATGCACGAACTTCAGATATCCACTATTTGGTCAAGAGTTAGTAAAATGTAAATGCTTCGATATAACTCTTTAGGTTTTAAGCATAGAAAAGAGGCAGGACGAAAGAGTGGCCGATAAGAATATGCATCGCCTGGAAGATACAAATATGAAAGCAAACATTAGTTCATATCTTACTGAACAGCGAGGATGAGGGCTCGAAACCCTGACTTAATGTATTAGTCAGTGCTGAATAAACCTAAATAAAGGTAGATAGTACCTAACTATATCCCATATCCTCATTAATAATAATATATATATGCATAGATAGTTCCCAGCTATATCCCATTTCCTAATTAATAAAAATAACATATTACATGTTCTTCCTTTTTACACTAGTTGCTTGACAAAAAGCAAGTGAATGCCTTTGATTTGTAGTAGATTAGTGACCCATCTTCCAACTCTCATGAAATGTATCGCCAAATTATCTTCCTAACGGAGATGGCGATAAAATGCATGTTTGCAGGGTGTATTCGTGTAGACAGTACAATGCCCCGAAAACTGACAGAAAAAAACACCTAAATGGTACTGCTAATAAGCCGTTTAAATTTTTTTTTTTTTGGTGCTAATGACAATAATATTTGATTAGCTAGTTTAATTGGTTTTCTTTTTCCACTTTGTGTCAACTTTGCTGTCAACTTGGCTGCGATTTGGAAGTTGAATTCGGCTACGCGGGGAGCGTGCTTTTGTGTATACACTGCCAATGATATCTTACGTAAGCTCTTTTTTTTTTAATGACCGCATATCGATAATTATCTATCGATACCATTTAGTAGAGAAACGTAAATGTTTCACAAATTATCGCATATTTATTACATCAAATATTCTGGTAAAGATTATTTATGCGTCGACTTGACTTTTGAATACGAATAGTTGTTGTCTGTCCCACTGAATGTCGTGGGATCTTGTGTTTGCACAGGCATTTAGCACATTTTTCGTATCGTATTAGAGAACACTCGGATTAAATTTTATGGTCGTTTATTATATTTTGTCATTTGATTTAAATTAACACCATTTCGTGGCATTCGTTTTATGCCGAATTCCCATACGCGCCAGTACAATATCTGTTTCTAACAACAGAGCATCTGATTGTCATTGAAAGTGGTTTTTAGTTTGATATGTGTGTGTGCTTGGGCAATCGATAATATTGCTATCGATTATTTAAATAAATCGATGCTTGATTTAATACAAGTCTGCCATATGACAATTTAAGCTGCAACTACTTTAAACTTTATGTAGTATCTGTTGTCTTTTTGATGAAAACCTGTTTGTGATCTTATCTAATAAGCTTTTATTTCATTCTTCTTTGCAGATGTTGATTTCGAAGCCTAATGCAGTTTACTCAATATGTAAGTATCGACTGCACCTCATTGATCTTAATGTCTGGCCGTAGATATATTTGTCCATCGGCTGATCTGGCCCAGCTGATGAACATTTATAGGACTTTTACATTTGGTGGTAGGACGGTCGGTCGGTCGGTCACTCATAGGCGTTTTGACAATGTTACAACAGACTAATTTTTATTGTGGCATCTTAAGCGGGCCAAGATGGCCAGAGATATTCGCCTCAGATACGGCAACACAATAGAGTCACAAAGCTATTAAAAACTGATATAAATCTCATTAAATGCGATGGTTGTAGCACATGAACAAAGCCGCCGCCTTGCCTTCAATCAATCGTTTGTTTCGCTCCCGGCTACAAATAAGATATAAGAATGGGCTCTTGTGTTCGGTTCGGTTCAGTTTAGCTCAGTTCAGTTCAGTTCAGTTCAGTTCGGTTCAGTTCGTATCGTTTCGTATTGCATCGTATCGTTCGCTTTTAAGTCTTCTTCACAAATGCCTTTTATATGGCAATGTGTTTACGAGTCTTTCTGTCCGTCTCTCTTATTGCCTGTCTGGGCTGTCTGTCTTCAGGGCTTCGGTTTACCTGGCCAAGTGAGCGTATCCATAACTCATAAATTTGTCGTCAGGTTGGTGACGCCACGAAAGAGGCGTGAACGTTGGCGAAATAAAGGTTGATCGGGTATTTTTGGCCAAAAAACTCTACTGTTAATAAATTATTTTTGCCATTAACAGATCAGATAGTTATAGATTTCGGCTGATTTCGACTAGATGACCTGCTAATTTGGAAACTGTCGCTAATTTTCATGTCAGTTAGAATTAAGAAAGAACTGATTTATCTCGATTAGATCGATATTACACCGATATTTCAATATGCAAACTATCGATATCGATCGGATTCAGTTGATGAGTTGACAGGATTAATCATACATTCTCCTCTATGGTAGAATATATCTGCATAAAGCCTTATCAAGGATCGATAACTTTCGATATGCAATATGGTTTTGTCTCACTTGAAACCATTTGGGTGGAATATTTGGGCACAGTGCCGAATTCACACCTTCTCTTCGTATCGAACTTGCCTCACGGTCAACCTTTGCCTTTCGCTATCTGCTGATCTGGTCGGTTAAGCATCTTGGTTCTTGATTCAATTACACAGCCGCAGCTCCAAATTGCGATCAGTGAGCCAGGGGTCTTACAAAGCTGTGAACAATACGGAGAATGCGATCTCCCGCTGTGCCCTCAAACATTCACATTCACTGATCGGCTCAGACATTGGAGATCGGGTACAAGTAGCGCCACAGTCGCAAAAGATGAATATGCATTTGTCGCCCAAAATGTGTCAGTGCCAACTCCGGTAGAGCTATGCCCATGCCCATATCAGAACCCATACCCACAGCCATAGCCATAGCCACAGCCCCAACCATACCCATGTCCCTGTTCATGTCCATGTTCGTGTCCATGTCCTTCCATTGAGCACTCAACTGGATCCCAGCGTCTGTTGGCGCTCTGTCGTTGCCTTTCCTTCCCACCTCTGGATATTGTTGTTATTGTTGTTGCTGCTGTTGTTGTGGTTGCGGTGTAGCTGTTGCTGTTGCTGTTGGCGGTGCAACAGCGGCGTCCGTCAACGATCCTAAAGCGATTTGCATATTAAAAACTTCTTTTTATTTTGTTGTATTTTTTTGTTTTTTTTTTTGTATTTTTTGTTGAAATCACTTTGTTAAGCTTTGTTCGGCGGCAGTCGGAGGCGATCAGAGGCGTTCATAATCAAAACTGAAGTGATGCGGTGGTCACGCCGCTGGCGGCTCACCCGCCTTTGGCTTTGACTGTGCCACAGCGCATCTTCTTCTTCTGTCTCAGTCGAGTCGGGAAGAGTTGGAGCGTTAGCTGCCGGATTGACCAACATATTTTATAATATGCAGCAAGCCGTGTTGACACTTTTTATGTGTTTAATAAATTAAGTTTTACAAAATAGAGAGAATACGACACGCTGTCGCTTCTGGGATCCCTTGCTCAACCCGACCCAACCCCCCTCCCCCTTTCCACAGCCCCCTGTGTATCTCACCGTCTCTAGCTGTTTGGGGTCTTGGGACATTCGGTTCGTTTAATGGTTGACATTTGAAAATTTTGTTGGTCGACTTTAACACGCATTTATGGCTTCTGCTTTATGGCCTTCGAAATGCGTTAAATAAAATGCTCCTCAAAAAAATATATATATGTATATACATATGTGTATGTGTAAAGCCAATAAAGATGATTGGTGTCTGGAATGGCTTTTTTTTCGTATATCTCACAGCTAAGCCGCGTTGAAGATTTTTTGTTTAATTTTGGTGGTCTTTGAAAATTATGAAATTTTTAATGAATTTCAATGGAACGTAAAGGTGCTTCATTAGAAGCTAGCAGGACACTTGGCATCGTTTAAATGGAAATAAATTATAAAAAAAACTATAAGGAATGTTGGCTGGGCATATTGATTCATGCTCTTAAGCTTAGTTGCAAAAATGTCACTTAATTTTAAATATGGTCAACGCCTGAGATTATTACTCAAATAATTCAATACAACAACAGATCAATGAGAAGCTGAGAACTCGTTTGGCAAGAGCTTCAAACGAAATACGCCAAACTGAATAAATCGATAGACAGGCAGACAGGTGAAATACAATGAAAAAAAAATATATATATATAAATATATCTATCTATATATGTGTGCATATCAGGCGAAAGCAATTAAAACATGGTCAGACGTTCATCTCCTCTGGGTAAGTGGCAAGAGGCAAGAGTGTCAAGTAAACTGGGCTTCGAGCTTGCCGTAATCGAAATAAATGTCATTACAACCACAACAGCAACAACAACAACAACAACAACAACAACAGTAACATTTATGAACAGGTGGCAATTAAAATACAATTTGTGCAGTATTTAAATAACTTGCCGAGATGACATATGTCATGCAAACTGCCCACAGACGACAAACAAAACAAGCAATTGTCGTAATAACAATACTATTAAAACAATACGAGTTTAAAGACAAATATATATATATGAATATGTACATATGTATGTGTAAGAATTGTCAATAACAAAGTTATTTATTGAAAGTGACATTGTTCAGAGCATGAGTAAATGTTTCGCTATGACAACGCCATACTAGAGCATAGTACACTAGAATGATGCTCTAAAAAGCTACAAATCGGACTTGGTCCCGAAATTCCGAACCAATTTGCAATAAAATAATAGTTAAATATTGCTTTTTACATATTATTGCAATCATTTTTAGCTTCTAACAGTTTCGATAGGTAAAAAATAAAAAGCACCTAGATTCATAGAGTTGAACTTAAGGGCGAGGCACTGAAACAAATATTTTCGTTAGGCTGGTAGCCTTGCTACTTATATAAAGTCCCACATTCTATAATTAGGACAGTACAGATAAGCTAACTGCGTTGGAAAATATGCTATATTGAGATCGTAAGTTCTAGAGTTTTCTCCATAAATAAACATTTTATACCACAAAAAGAAAAAGCTATCATTTAAATAGTTATCCATATCAAATCTTGAGGCTAGATAATAAACTAGCTAAACTGTACGATTATTTGCATATAGAGGCTATATGATGTCTCCCTCATTTGATTTTTTGATAGAAAATTTAAAAAATCTCATATTTACGCAAGTCACAAAACTGAGAAAAACCAAGAGATGTCAATAAGAACTTTTCAATAGAAAGATCTATGATATATATCTAATTATGCTCTGAAAGCGTTTAATATAGAGTATATGAGTTAAAGTATAGTGGAGCAGGGCTTAAAACTAGACTCAAATTGGTTACTCATGATAATTGGTGCATTCTTTGATTTAAGTAATTTCCGTGGCGCATGCATTTTATAATTCCCAAACTGTTCAAGCGCACACCCAACACGAGCTGTCAAATGCTGCTTGCCTCAAGTTATTATTGTTACTCTTCAGCGCTGTCTATGTTGACACATTTACAACAACATGTTGCCATAGAAGTAACACCATATGCCCCATAACATTCGATATACCTATTTAGGTAATATTAGGCACAATTTGTGCTCGCATCGTTTCTTAATGACCAGCTAATGCTGCTTACCATTTAGGAGAAGACCACGTTGCCATTGCCGAGGCCGAGGCCGATGACGATGCCGATCCCAATCATAATTTGCGTATCCAAGTCGCACATCAGCCAACGATCGCCAGTCGTCGTCGTCGTCGTCGGCGTCGTCGGCGTCGTCGCGATCGCGATCTCGATCACGAGCCAGTTCTGAGGCTAAGACTGTGACTGGAACTGAGGCTGGTGCCATGGCGGTCTTTGGCTAGACATCGACATGGAGATCGGCTCTTGTGCGGCGCACAAGAATGTGACATGGGAATTTGAAGTGGAAGTGGCCATGGTCGACAGCACGAAGACCGTCAGCGTCTTCTTCTCGTATTGGCACTGGCACTCGCACTCGCACTCGTCTCTCTCTGTGTGTGTGTGTGTGTGTGTACACATTGTCATGTCACGCCGGCGCAACTCTAGAGAGCAGCTCGTTGAGCCAAATGTCCACTCTGTGTGTCCAGTGACTGTCTGTGCGGCATCGTTACCATCGCTGTGCTTGCTCTCAAAAACCTGAAGTGTCCACTTAGAATTTGTCACATCATTATTCTTATTTTTCTTTTAAATAATCATATTTACACACACGCACACACACTCACACGCACACACGCCAAATACATGGCAGTTGGCCGTGGTGCGCCTGGGAGGTCTTTTGGCCACTTCGTTAGGCCTTTTCGGTGGAACTCCTTGAGCATCAGCAGTGGACAATGTTTCACATCGAGACAGCAACAGTGACAGCGACGGGTGCGTGTGGCGTGTACCCAGAAGGGGTAGATTGGTCAAACGGAAAGGGGGGGTGGAGGGTGTGCTGCACAACATCGATGACAAGACACGAATTCATATGCTTATGAACCAGTGGAATATCGCTTTAATTTATTTATTGTAATTACAAAACTAGTGACAATAATTTATAAATTGTCAGTTAAGCCCTTTAGTTATACCCTGTGCGCAATAAATACGTTTAGTAGGGTATATTAAAGCAATGCAAATGCTACAATAAGACAGCAAGTTGCATAAGGTATATGGGAATCTTTGCGAACAGCATTAACAGCAAGGTCAAAGCTGTCGTGTCGTTTGGTCAAACTAATACCTCGTAAAAATTGGGCTTAGAACAATTTGATTAATAAATTAAAGGCCTCGATTCTATAATTGAAACAACACGGCTCCCCTGCCTTCCTCTCCAGCTCCTATTTAATCTTTCTTTTCCTTTGCTTAAGATCGCCTTTCTATGCGATTTTCATTAGCTCAAACTTTCATAAATCTGATAGTATGTGCATAGACTTAATCATTTATATATATTTTTTCTAGCTAAAAAACTAATCTTTTTTTTATAATCTCTTCATTGCAGCATCAAAAATTGCTGGAATATTTGAATAACAGACAACGAATCAATTAGGATCTGCAAGGGGAATATCTGTATCTAGTCTACTGTATTGTCACAACTATATATAGATTAACAGTAGTTTGTAAGGCAGCCGCTCTTGATGAATATTGGGCAGGAAAAGCATACGCATTCGCAGTCGCACACACATCCGCATCCGCATCCGCATACACATCCGCAAGCGCAGCAGCAGGCGACCAGCGGCAGCCGCAGTCGCAACACAGATCCGCACAGTGGTTCTGGTTCTGGTGCTGGTGCTGGTGCTGGCACTGGAGCCGCTGCAACCGATTATCCAGCATTGCTTCTGGGCTATCGCTATCCGCTGCCGCCCGGACATCATGACCATCGACTGCATATTGAGCACCTCAGGCGCTCCGCTGCGGAGCGTGTGAGGAGTCCCAACGGCTGTTCCATGGTTATGACACCCAGTCGACGCAGCTCGCCACCGTTGCCTCTGCCGCTGCCGACGCGTGGCCAATCCCAAACCCAGTCCCAGACCCAGTCCCAGTCCCATCCACAGTCGCAGTCCCATTCCCAGTCCCAGTCGCAGTGCATGAGCGCCCACTTTCTGCACTTGCACTCGCAGCTGCATCAGAAGCTCTCCGCCAGCTACTTTCGCAACCCGCCCTCGCCTTCGCCAACGGAACGGGATCGCGACCGAGACAGGGACAGGGAGAGGGAAAGAGAGAGGGAGCGCAACATCTCCGGCTCCGGCACATCGCCGCCAGCGACGAGCATGAGCGCAGCGCACCTGAATCCGCTGAGCGATCTGCAGAATATGCAGCCCTTTGACTTTCGCAAAATCAACTCGTCCACGCTGGGCGCCTTCGGGGCGCCGCCCGGCCCCACAGACTTTGTGCACCATCAGCACCAGCAGGCCGTACATCTGCAGCAGCAGGCGGTACAGCAGGCGGCGGTGCTGGCGCAGGCACGACGTCGCATTAATGAAGCCACCACGCCCGGGGAGAAGAGCGCCGCGGTGGCTGCCGCTGCGGCAGCTGCTGCTGCTGCCGCCCAGAGTAATCAGTTCTTTAGCGCAATGGCCATGGCCGGGCATCCGCTGCCGTATCACTTGCCGCCACCGCCACCCCCACCGCCGCCACCGCAGCACCAGCAACAGCCGCAGCAGCACCAACAGCAGCCGCAGCAGTCCAACAACAATCAGGTGTCGGCAGCAGAACATAGTCATGGCCATGGGCCGCACTCGCCAAATCATGCACAGATGAACCACAGTCACAGTCACGGTCACGGACACAGTCACAGCCAGTATCACCAGCACTCGCATTCGCACCATCACAAGGTAACGCAGCCCACATCGCCGGAGGACACGAGCGCCAGCAAGGTGCGTCATCTGGCCGCCGCCGTTGCTGGCGACAAGTCGAACAGCAGCTGTTCCTCGTCCAGCGCCTCCGGCATACAGCCGGCAAGCAGTTCACAGCGCATGACTCGGCTGGCTTTGGCTTCGGGTTCGGGCTCGGGCTCGAATTTGCGTGCGAGCCGCAAATCGGGACACTCGCCGGGCAGCAAGCGGCAATGGGGCTCGATGCCAGCCAATTTGGGTACACAGTTCATCAATCCGGTGACCGGAAAAAAGCGCGTCCAGTGCAATGTTTGCCTGAAGACCTTCTGCGACAAGGGAGCGCTCAAGATCCATTTCTCGGCGGTGCATCTGCGCGAGATGCACAAGTGCACCGTCGATGGCTGCAGCATGATGTTCAGCTCGAGACGTTCACGCAATCGGCACAGCGCCAATCCGAATCCGAAGCTCCATTCGCCGCATTTGCGGCGCAAGATCTCGCCGCACGATGGACGCAGCGCTCAGCCGCATCCGCTGCTGCTGCAGGCGCCCAATGGCATCATGGCGGGCCTGGGGCCGTTCGGTAGTTTCCCGTTGTTGACGCCGCCGCCGGATCTGCGCCATCATGCGCTGGGTGGCATGGAGCTGAAGCATGGCGCCGGTCAGGAGTATTTGCAGCGATCCTATATGGACAACAATGGCATGCTCGGGCGGTACGAGGGTCAGCGGCGCAAGGCGGCGCTCGAGGCGGGCGATGACGATGATGATGATGATGAGATACTCGAGGTGGGCATACACATGCCGGATGACGATGATGACGACGACGAGGCGGATGGCGATGGTGATGGCGACGATGATGATGACGATCCCGATGGTGATGGCATTGTGGTTGTAGGCGATGAGCTGGACAGCATACCCGACAAGGACAAGCACAGCCACGATGATTACATGCTGGACAACGGCAACGAAAGCGATGAGCGCTCCACATCCGCCATCTCCAGTCACAGTCTCAGTCACAGTCACAATCACAGTCACAGTCACAGTCACAGTCATAGCCACAGTCACAGCCAAACCAAAGAGCAACAACAGCCCAGCCCCTGTCCGAGCAAGGCCGAGCCGGAGCCATGCCCGGAGCCCGATGAGCAACACGAGGATTCACAGAGCCTCACGGATTCAGCGCACGCACTCGGCCAGACGCCGGCCAGCAAGCGAAAGCGCAAAAGCCAAAATCCTGTGCGCTGCACCGTGCAATCCGATGAGAATTCTTGCGACAATTCGCTGGATAACTACGACGTGGCCGCCGACTTGTCCATTAAGAAGATCAAGCTCAACGACGAAGCCGATACGGAGGCAGCGGATACGGATGCGCCTCGAAGAGCCCAACTGGGCGCTGCCACAGCCAAAGAAACCGAGGTGTTAACCAGCTCCACTGAGTCCACCAAGGCGATACCCTCGCCCCCGCTAACGCCCTACACCAGTGAGGCCAAGTCGCTGATAAAAATGGAGCTAGAGGAGGAGGAGGAGGAGCAGCAAAATCAGGAGCAGAGGCAGGAGCGCGAACTGCAGACAAATGTGCAGCAGCAGCTGCCAACATCGAGAAATACAAATACTCTGCAAGATGAGGGCGCTGGCACCCTGGATCTATCGCTTAGCACGGCCAGTGGCTCAGTTATCAAGCAGGAGCCGCTGGACGAGCTGGCGCTCACATATGGCGCCGATGCGGACGAGAATCGTTATTTGCGCATCAAGCAGGAGCTGCTTGGCGAGGATGAGCATGTCTTTGGACGTGCAGCGGTCGAGGAGAGCAGCACCAACAACAACAACGTTATTATAACTGAAAATATGTCGGGCAAGGGTGGCGACTCCAATGGCAGCATCAAGGCAGAGCCAGAGCGCGAACCCGAGCCGGAGCCAGAACCAGAACCAGAACCGGAACCAGAACCAGAGGTGCCCATTGACAAGGAGAACCCATTGAAATGCACCGCCTGCGGCGACATCTTTCAGAATCACTTCCACCTGAAGACCCACTACCAAAGCGTCCATCTGAAGCTCCACCACAAATGCAACATAGACGGTTGCAATGCGGCGTTTCCATCGAAGCGCAGCCGCGACCGGCACAGCTCGAACCTCAACTTGCATCGCAAGCTGCTCTCCACCAGCGATGAGCACAATAATGTGCTGCTGCCACCGGATCCGCTGCTGGAGCTGATGAGCATCAACAATAACAAGGTATTTGGCAGTGCTGGTGGCGTCGCTGGCGCTGGCGGCCCTGCTGGCGTGCCCGTTACCGCAGCTGGCGGCATGCCCAGCAGCATTCAGGCTGAGCTTCTGGCACGCATCTGCGCTGGCGCCCATGGGCTGAGCATGCCGCTGTGCTTTGAGGCGCTGCAGCATCGCTTCGCTGCGGGCCATGGACATGGTCAGGTGACCGGCGGATTCGGTGCGGAGGCAAATGCGAATGCAAATGCCTTCATTGCGGCAACCGATCCGCGCCTGCTGCTCAACCATGCCGGCAATCCACTGCTCTTCCCCGGACTTCACAGACTGCCGCGCTTCCACCACTTGACGCCGCACATGCTGGCCGGCGCCACTGCGCTGAGCCCCTTCTGCAGGCGAACCTCTTCCGATTCAAATTCGCAACACTCGATAACACCGCCGGTGGGCGCACGTGGAGGTTGCGATAGCAGCTCGCTAATGGGTTTGCGACCACGTTCCGGATCCGGTTCCGGATCGCCCGAGTACGATGGCCAGTCGACGCATACGCATGCACACACACATATGCACAAGCAGACGGCTGGCGAGGAGGCGGGGCAGAGCCAGCGGCAGTCTCCAGATCGCATATCATGACCATGTACCTCGTACTATGCCAAGGCGCTGGCATTTTATCACTGAAGGATCGTCGTGGACAACAAATTCATTAATGCAATATCAGGCTAAAACTTAGGACTACTACAGCATTGCTCATAATCATAATCGATATTAATCGATAAATCGGTCAACGACTTATCGATCGGAGGAGAAGATATCAGAAAATTCGCAATCCAAACTGCAGCTTGGCTCGCCAGCGCTCATTATAAACAATACTTTTACTAGGCTAATATAAAATATTAGATGGATCAACTAGCATTTTTTTTTTCTATATATACACACACATATATATATATATATACATATATATAAATATAATAATGAAAACCCCTATTTTTTTTTTTTTTAACTTGTATTTATAAAAACTGTTGTTTTGTGTACAAGCATGAAATTGTAGAGAATTGAATAATAATAATACTTATTATAATTATAATGAAGAATGAATAATAAAATTTAAAATATATGATTAATAACGATATATTGTTAGTGATACTCGATTATGTAAGCATAGCCTCTAAGCGCATACTTAACATAGATATGTGTGGGTAATGTCGTGTTTTTTTTTTTTTTTTTTTTTTTTTTTTTTTTTTTATATAGATTGATTCGTACCGCGACCCCAGGAAACCCCAAGTGTATTGTATGATAAACATAAAAACATGAATGAGTCAACGATAAAATGTTTTCAATGGGGAAAACAAAACTGATTACCATTTACTTAATCGATATATATGATCTTTCTATGTAGATTAACAAACGGTTTTTTTTTTGTTGTCTTCTTTTACGAGAATCCTAGAGTATCACATAGTGGGATAGTTCTGAAGCAGTAACCAGGCAAATACCTTCAACTCATATTTAAGCTATATATGTTTGCAATAAAATATCATGAAAAATATAAAACATAACAATGACTTTTTTCTATTTGGGCATATGGGTGAAGAAAAAGTGTTAACCTAAAAAGGCTCAGAGATCTATGTAGATCATTCCAACTCAATTACTACAAACTGGAGATATAAGCTGAGTAGCCGTTCCAACTGAACAATAAGGACCTGGGATACGAACAGCCTTGGTAGACAGGTCGAGATTATTTGTCTTTAATTATAGCCTCTTGCCTTAGTTTGGTTTTTTTGTTAGCTTTTATTGTTAAACAAGTTGCGAAATCGACTTTTAACTTTTATTGTTGGAAAAGTTGCGAAATCAAGCAGGTTGCTGGTTCGAATCCCTGTACGTAGGGTTTGTAAGTAAAGTCTTAGCGGAAGACGATGTGGTATATAAGTTGTGTGGAAGTGTCCAATAATTATATGCATATTATAATTTAACACGTATGGGAATACTAAAGAGAGTATATAATCGCTCGTCAAATCGAATAGAACTTTTGCTGCGAAATATTACAGTGGCTTACGCTACTTTCGGAGCATTTTTTCTTAATTTTAGAAGCAATTTATATCACTTAAGGAATTTTTACCCAAATGAAAACGGCTTGCTAACAAAGTTTAATTTTGCCATCAAGTCTAGAAAGCCATGAACCCAATTTTAAAGAAAAAAAATCTTTTTTTTTTATTTCAGAAATGTAATATTTTTGAAAACTAACTTGAGGTAATATTTCTTAAATTACGAATAATAATTCTGATATTAAAACATGTTTTATTATTATAAAGGCAATTTCAAATATAGACTACTTTCTAGAGCTAGGGATATTTCCTATTATTTGTTTTAAATTCTGTGCGGCATTGGAAGTAAGAAATCCAAAGAATATATTTTTGATAGAGCTCTGAAAGCGCTCTATTACAAACAAATGTGAAGCGAGAGATACTTTTAAGATGTACTGGTAAGTCGTAAATCTTCTTACATAAAAAGTGTTTTTTTTTTTATAAAGTATTATTTACTGTTTATTTTCTTTATAGAAATTCAAAATGTGTTGTAGTTGAAATTGATATACAATAAGTGCTCCAGTCCAGGGACTTAAAAGCATGCATGTGAGTTTTGAAGGGAGGTGAGGGGTACGATTTGTACTGTATTGGGATGCCATTGGTAAAATGCAAAATTGTAGTTAGGTACATTTTAGGGGGTTGCTATGCATGCGATTTTAATTTTAGATCGATTAAAATGGCTCGTAAATTTAGCTGCCTCCGCGGGGGCGTCAGAGTGTCCAAATAAATAAATGCATCGAATGGGTTGTACTCACATGTACTCGGTCGCCCACACTCACACACGCACACACACACTCGCACACATATGTGGGTAGTTACCGGGTGTATCTATAGATACACATATGCACATACTACAAAGAAGTATCTCTGCTGGATGGCAATGTGGCTTGTGGTTGTCCATGTCACCCCTGGGTCGGTGTCGGTGTCGGTGGCGGTGGCGACGCCATTGCCAATGCAATGGCCTCCCTTAGGAGAAAATAATAGAGGTTCGGTGTACGAGTAGTGCAATTTATTTAAAGTAACATTTTAGTGTTTCCTTCCGCTGAAATTCGTTCTCTTCCTTCCTGTTGGCAAGTCTCTCTTGCCGCGGCCAGAGCCTGCAGTTGCTGGCTACGTATTCGTACTCGAGGAATAACAACAGATTGTGGGCAAATAAAATTGCCACAATGTTATCGTTAAGCCAGCAGGACACGCAGAAACAACAAAAAACAATAGCACCAGCAGCAGCAACAACAACAACAACAACAACAACAGCAACGGGGTATCCGTATCCACGCGGCACGTTCATATCCGCGTCCCTGCCGCTTACATACCCTTACATTAAGCTTACATATGTACACATACATGCATACATATGCCACCATATGGCATCACACACACAGTACATGCATGTGAGTATATACTTTAGTTGGTATTTCTGACTGCATTCCATTTGCTACTTTACTCCGATTCGTATGTACAGGTATATATATATATTTATATATAAATATATATATATACATATATATATGGGTTTGTGCCCGTTGCAATTACACACATGCAAATAGGCGACAGTTACCCCACGCATGCAAACACACTCGCATTCGCACCTGTAAACACACACACACACACATACTTGCAACAAAGAGATATGACATTATATGGCATGGATAATCTTGTTCTAGATGCAATTTTGACTTTTGTTTACAGCCCGCTTTATGGAGCAATGTAATTCTGCATTTTTGTGTCCAAAGCAGCCACATTTACACACATGCAAAGACGCACACACACACACTGAACAACTAATGAGCGTGTTTGGCATTTTATGGGTCTCGTCGCAACGCTTTTAAGACAAACAATAAAAAAAACGCACAAGCAATGCCTAACTCTGAGATACGCTGTAAAACATTTGGAAAATGTAGTTCAGCGAATACAAATATTAATAAAAGAAACTCAGTTTATGCTTCTGACTCAACATTTACAAAAAAAAAATTTATTTGTTTAAGTAAAAGAAATTTATATATATTTATTTATTTAGTTTTTATTATTAATTTATTTAAATAATATAATATCTCCACTGAATGTCTTTCTACTATTATTACTATTAATTTACTTGTATTATTAATATTTTGCTCTCCAATATATTTTTCTGAATATGTTTTTACATTACAGCTCTGTCTGGTGTAATAACATTTTATTTTTTAGTTTCCCAAAAAACTTAAGACTCATAAAAATGTTCATTACTAAAGAAAATTGCAAGATGCCAAAATGCTTGGAGTATAATTTAAGGCAAATTTTAATTTTTAATAAAATATCTTTTCATTATTATTAATAAAAACACAACATATTTTTGCAAATTTGCTATGAATTGTATAAAATTTATGAAAATATATTCATATGCTCATATTAATAGTAACTAATATGTTCATATAAAGATATTTTAGCAAATTTAATATAGTTTTTAGTTTTAGTTTTTACTTTAAATTTAATTTCTTATATGCAGTAACATATTCTTTAAACATTTAAATTTTAATGATAAACTGCCAATAATTTTACATTTAAAGAAATGCCTAAAAAGATTCCGAAATTTTGGTTTTATGGAATATAATTCAAAACATTTTGTTCAATGTGGTTTTTGAAGGCGTTCACTCAATTCCGTTCGTTAAAGTTAGAGTCTACTGTGATATTTGTTGAGAGTTAAGCTTTTAATGCCAAGCCAAGCATTTTATTTAGTTAAATGGATTACAGATAAGCGAAATAAATTCATTCTATATTCAAAAGGCAGCAGTTGATGTTTTAAAGATGAGCAATTGCAGCTAGTAAACTATTACAGGGTATTCATAAGTAGACACACTAGCTAGCCTCTCTCTCTCTCTCACTCTCTCTCTGTATGTGTGTGTGTGTCGGGACATGTACAACTACAGAATGTATTACATAATTTTAGCAGTGCGCACAGACAATTGGCGAGGCAAGTAGACAGGTAAATATCAGTCAGTATATACCACATGCACGTACATATGTACATGTATGTATGTATGCATGTGACTTGCACACACATATAAACTACTCATATGCTGTTATATAGACACCTTGGATGCCACGGATAATGCAGTCTATGTCTAGCCCCTAACGTGCAATTGTTAAATTCGGTCTGCCCGTGGCAGTGGGTGGAAATGTGGTCTCGGTCTGGGGGTCTTGGGTCTGGGTGTGGTACTGGTACTGGGTTTTTGGTCTGTTTACGGTTCCGGGACCGTATTTCGTACAGATGTGGTGGCCAAAAACTGATAATGTACTCCTGCCAACTGCAACTAATTTGTTAGCGAGGACCTTGCAGTCAGTCAGGCGTTGAATCACATCGTAAATATCACATACATTCATAAAACAGTACACATTTTCCAGCAATTACTATATAAATATGAGTGTAAATTAAAGACAAAAATGCATAGCCCACAGTAGAGAAGAACCTAACGCGTATGCCTAACATATCTTCATTATTGATTTCAGAATGGATTATATATTCATAAAGAAAGTAAACTTTTTTGAGTATCATGATATAAAAATCAATGTGCTGTCCTTGATAGAGGAGTGGACTGAGTTGGTTGATTCAATTAGGCAACTGAGAAAACAAGGAACCGGAAACTGAGTGTACATTTGAATTTTCAAATACATTCTTATAAGAAGGTCAAAGTAGCCTGCGCTATCTAAGAATTTTTTGGCTCATACTTTGTGTACTCTGTAGTACTATGATAATAAATAATGATAATTATATTAATAATGATAATAATGACAATAAAGATAAGAAGAGAAATAAAAAAAATAAGGAAAAAATAATAAATTAAATTTAAAACTAAAAATGTTTAGTTTTTAATTCTAAAAACGTATCGAATTATAGGAAATTTAAGCAGTTCCCAATGAAAATGCTAAGTACAGGAGTCGACAGATCACAGAGGATGAGAACCGCGAACATTTACAAATATTTCGCGATTTGATAGACTGAATGCGAGGCAGGCAGGCAGACAGGCGGGCAGACATTTGCGTGGGCCGAAGGGTTATGGTTATTGAGGATCCTGGAAGGGTCGAGGGTCGAGAGTTGGAGTTGGGCGGGCAGGTAGAATTAATCCAATTTAAAAAGCGCTCAGCTAATCCAAAAACTGTTCGCAAATTCGTTGACTAAGTAGCTGTGTATGTACTTCGGCTGGGATCAATGAATGAATCCCATGGCTTTGGCTTTCATTGATCTGCATTTTATAAAGCCCGATATTTGGCCCAGTAACGATTAGAAGGGCGGCTGGCAAATATCAGCATTAGCCAACAGCTAATCTGTGGCGCAGGATATAGACGTAATCCCACAGCTTGCACACATTTACTCCGTATTCCCGGTACACGAGATGCCCAATAAATAGCCCAAGCCACATTGTTGTCTATCACAGTCAATTGAGAACATTTACGGGCGACACACGCTCTGCAGAGCAACGTAGAGAATATTAACCAAATTCCAGTGATATTCAATGGATACTGCGCCAGTTTTCCAGTCTAGCTTCTCCATACGCTCTCTGCTCTCCAGCACGCACCTGGAGGAGGAGGAGGGCAAAGGAGGGGAGGCCCACAAATATTATTTGAGCGCCAGTCCAAGCGATTCCTGCAATAGCTCCGAGGATGCATCCTCCGAGGACGGCAACACCACTTCCCCCACAGCCAGCAGCAGCAGCGGCAGCAGCGGCAGCAGCAGTGGGGGTAGCATCAAGTCGGATGTGAAGCCCGCCTTCACGTACAGCGCCCTAATCGTAATGGCCATACGCAGGAGCCCGGAGAAGCGTTTGACGCTGAGCGGCATCTGCAAGTGGATAGCCGATAATTTTGCCTACTATCAGAATCACAAGAGCGTCTGGCAGAACTCCATACGCCACAATCTGAGTCTCAATCCGTGCTTTGTGCGCGTGCCGCGCGCCTTGGACGATCCGGGACGTGGTCACTACTGGGCATTGGATCCGTATGCCGAAGATCTGACCATTGGCGAGACAACCGGCCGTTTGCGGCGCAGCAACAACGCGCTACTCAGTCGCTCTAAGGCAGCGGCTGCTCTGCAAGGTCACGGCAAGAGCCACGGCTATGCGCATCCTTATCAGCAACTGGCCAGCAATCCGAACGCCGCCGCCGCTGCTGCTGTTGCTGTAATGTATGCGCAGCTCTTCAAGCCGCACGCTGCCTACTTCCCCATCATGCCGAATGTAGCTCACCACCCGGCACAGCCGCAGCAGCATCCAATCATGATGCAGGGCAACCAACATGCGAATGGCACCG